TGCTCAACTGGGCAGGAGGCGGAGCAATGAGCGCAGCTGGGGGCGTGGTTCGAAGTTGGCGGCCGCCGCCGCCGCCGCCCACTCGGGAGCCCATCGAATAGAAGCGTTCGGAACGCATAGAACCGGCACGCACCACACTCATCATCACTTCATCTCTAAAAATGCAATAAAATTTATTATTTATTATTATATTTATATTATTATTATTATTATCAACACCATCTATATGTATTTATCAACTAAATAAATGTATTTATTAATCATGCTCTCTGCAAATCACAACGATATATCCAATTTCCACAGTCTTCAACTCCCGCACGGGTATGGCACATCACTACGGGCATCCAGTCGAAAGCCGAAATCCATTAGGTTGCCTGGTATGCTTTTACTTCTTTTTTGGACAATTTCACAATTCAAAATTAAGTTTAATGAAAAATTTCCCAATCCAAAATCCCGATTTCAAACCTTCAATCCCTCTGAAATTTTTGACTAGAAACGAGCACCACCACGATTTTTTTTACATTCAAAAAAATTTTTTTTAAATCTCAATATCGACTGGAAAACTCAAGAAGATACCACCAAAACGATGTAAAAGCATTGCCACTAGCCTAGTATTTCAACTTGAGGATGCCCTCGATCCGGGATCGACTCCAGATTCACAGCTGAGCTCACGACAAGCCAATGTAAGCGGTCAGCTTTGAGTGCATGGCCATACCCGTACGAGTCTTAAGCGGATTGCCAGATTCAGATTTAATGCGATAGATTAACCACATAAAATAAATCTTCAAATAATGCAACGTCAAATTTTTACAACTTCGATTGCAATTGCAACTGCAACAACATGCTAAGCGCAAAGCATTGCGTATTAAGACTGCACAGGATGTCATCCGCTCACCCAAAGCTTCTTGCCTACCCGGTGGGAATTCAGTGAATCCCTCCGCTTTACCCGGGAAATGCCCCCTACCCAGTCCAGTTCCCATATAAACCTCACATCAGCAACAAGCTGGCCGGAAAGCGTCACAGAAGGAATCTGCTGCTAGTGTGTAAGCTGGATACCTGGAATTTAAGATGCTAACATCAAAAGACGCCCCCCCCCCTCCTTCCTCACATCCTTATTCACCTCAAATTATGGATTCATGCATGAGTGGGGAAAGGCAATGGACCCTGATCACTCATGGTACCCAAATCAATTTCAGGTCTAAGTGAACCAAGTATCAGTTTCACTTTACGGTAGCCGAAATAAAAAATTAAAAAAAAAATGAGCGAAAAGGAGCGCTTTATCAGCAGCCGAATAGCCTAAGTCGAATCCAAAAGCCCGAATCGAAACCAGAAACCAGACATATAAGCCGAATTGAAACACTTAGCCGAATACGAAAGCCTAAGCTAAATCCAAAAGCCTAAGCCAAATCCAGCACCATAAGCAAAACAATAATTATAATAATAATCAATAAAAACCAAAGGCTCAGTTAATTATCACTGATAATCGACGGCGTCAACAAAAAAAGCGATAAATGACCTCATGTTGAAGCTGCTGCTCAAGCCCAAGCCTATGCCTAAG